GAGAGAGAGAGTGTGTGTGTGTGTGTGAGAGAGAGAGAGAGTGTGTGTGAGAGAGAGAGAGAGTTTGTGTGTGTGAGTGAGAGAGAGTGTGTGTGTGAGTGAGAGAGAGAGAGAGTTTGTGTGTGTGAGAGTGAGAGAGAGTGAAAGTGTGTGTTTGGGTGTGTGCAGGAGAGAGAGACTGTGTGTGCGTCTGCGTGAGTGAGAAAGACTGTGTCTGTAAGTGTGAGTGAGAAGTGTGTGTGTGAGAGAGAGATTGCATATGGCCAGGTGGGTTTTAAAAAAATCATTCACAAACTATTCATGTCACTGACTGGGCCAGCGTGTATTATCCATCCCCCAGAAGGCAGTTAAGAGTCAACCAGGTGTCGAGAACATCACTGGGGTCTCTGGATTAACAGTCTAGCGATAATGCCGCTAGGTGTATGTATGTGTGTGTGTGTGTGTAAGTGTTGATTGCATGCGGCTGCGCTGTGAGCAGTTCCATTCGAGACAGCGAGTCAGCGTTTTGCGAGAGAATGTGAGAGAGCGCAGATGATACCTGGACAAGATGGTGTACAAACTCCCTGCCCAAGAGAGTGCGCAGAATCTCACTGAACATTGGCTCCTCCACGTCCATCGCGAAGGGGAAGCACAGCAGCTGGCAAACTCTCAGCACCACATCCTGTGTGACCTCCACCCCAGCCCCACAGCAACGAGCAGCAAGACCGAGAGCGGGCAGCTCTAACCTGAACACGAGAAACACCCACGGCAGGTCAACACACAGACTCGACCTAACCCTCATGCTGTCCCTGTCCCTGTCCCTGGGGAGTGTTTGAGGGGGGACAGTGTAGAGGGAGCTTTACTCTGTATCTAATCCCGTGCTGTCCCTGCGAGTGTTTGATGGGGGGACAGTGTAGAGGGAGCTTTACTCTGTATCTAACCCTGCGTTGCCCCTGTCCCTGGGAGTGTTTGAGGGGGGGGAACGGTGTAGAGGAAGCTTTACTCTGTATCTAACCCCGTGCTGGCCCTGTCCCTGGGAGTGTTTGATTGGGGGGGAAACAGTGTAGAAGGAGCTTTACTCTGTATCTAACCCCATGCTGGCCCTGTCCCTGGGAGTGTTTGATGGTGGGGGGGACAGTGGAGAGGGAGCTTTACTCTGCATCTAACCCCGTGCTGGCCCTGTCCCTGGGAGTGT